CTACTGCTACTGTATTGTCTCCTCATCATTCGTAGGTATGAATGTCTTGCGAGTGCTCAAGATATCGCTTTTGAGATTCAGAACACGCCTGCGCCTACCCCTGAGGCTCAGGAGGCCGTAGAGGAAGTAATTGGACGCGGTAGTTTCTGTCTTGTGATTTTCTATTTATTCTCAGCAATTCGTTAAGCCCATGAATGCTTGTGTTCATAGCTGTGATCGCTTCATGGACCTCATGGAGAAGTGCGTCGACTTCGAAGCGATCGCTAGAGACAGGGAGTTCAGAATTCGAAGTGGACAGCATCCTTCCCTTCGTGGTTGGATGTGGTCGTATCAGGTGGAATAACGCCTCAACTGGAGGAGTTGGCCGGGCATAGAGATGCCGCAAGGGAGGAAATGGAGGTCATCAAACAGGAAGTGTCGAGAAAAATTAAGACGGAAGCGAGGCTAGCTGAGGTGGCATCAACTTCGTAAAGAGGTTTTGTGATGGGATGGTCCTTGTAGGCTGCTGCGCCGCACTATTGGTGTCTGAGGGTTCCTAAGAAACAACAGGCTAGTGTGGAGAAAACAAGAGCGTAAGATAAGCCTCTCAAAGGGCAGGTCGATACTCGATGCAGGTACAAGAAGGTGCAAATCAACAAGGCAGAGTTCCTGTTCACATGTGGACCACTGGAGCTTGCCGTCTCACGATTCATGGACGCCCAGAGCCGGTATGCTGGACGGGAGATGCCTGTGCTCTCGTGATGGATAATGAGAACTTGAATAGCCTACTATAATTGTGTTCATCAGCGTTCGATAGGGATCTATTCTAATGGAGTATATATAATTGGCTGGCACTGTAATAGGACTAATATGCAGTCTATATATCTCTACATAGTCATTACCGTATTATACGGTTATTGTATCAAAAAACAGACTATAGTATAGTAATATCGACTATCGCACCTCAGTAATTGGTGCGCGATAGGTATAACGAAGCCGCACGTGATATTCAGAAGCGCACAGTTGAGGTAGCGGCGACCTATCACCCAGCAGTAGCTCGACTGGCTGATGTTCTGGCGTCCCTAGATGTCCTAGTAAGCAGTTCACACTTGCCTTGCGTATCCTCTAAGAATTGGCTCGATCAGTGCTCCTTCGCCTGCTGCGCTCTGACTCATCGCATGGTTCGAGCGGACATTGACGATGCAACTCCTCCAGTGTGCATTGACATTGACGGCGCGAGGCATGTTCTAGTGGAGGAGGCGAGGATCAACGGCGATATCAAAATGGACGAGGCCATGGGAGAGTAAGTAGGGATGTACTACTGCGACTGTTCGGCGAGGTGTTAGAATCCCTCCGATATGCGAGTACTCTGAAGTGTGAGAGAACGTCCCTTGGAATGAAGCGCAGTTGAGTATTATTCTGATTACGTATATCCTTGGTGCATCTCATAGCTTGTCTCGAGGATCGTTGTGCACGGTAGAACACAGATCGCCTTTTACGGCTACAGGTTCGTCCCGAATGACGTTAAAATGCAGAGAGAAGGTACGGGTCACATGAATGGAAATGATGGCAGAGTTATGGTCATCACTGGCCCCAACATGGGCGGCAAGAGCACCTACATTCGGACGGCAGCTCTCTGTGTGTTCCTCAATCAGATAGGGTCCTTCGTGCCTGCCCAGAGGGTGAGTTCGAGAATGAGTTGCTTTCGGAAGAGCTCGAGTTTCCTTAGGCTCGGCTGGGCATCTTTCGATCGATAATGTGTCGAGTGGGGGCGTCAGACTATCAGATACGCGGTGTGTCTACATTCATGGCAGAGATGCTTGATGCTGCTTCCATAGTATAACCTGAGGGCACGGATACAGTGGAGGGGGATGGTGCTCGCAGATTCAAAGCGCGGATGAATACAGTCTGGTGATCATAGACGAGCTTGGCCGAGGAACAAGCACTGAGGATGGCTTTGGGTTAGCCTGGCATATCACTAAGTGAGTCGCGATCGCGCCCT